CAAGTTCAACTTCACGACGAAGGGACCGCTGGTTGTCAATAAACAATTTCTCAATCTCAGAGCCAATTTTAACTTCACAGCGAAGGATATTGGACTCGAGGCAACGCAAGTTCAACTTCACGACGAAGGGACCGCTGGTTGTCAATAAACAATTTCCCAATTTCAGAACCAATTTCAACTTCACAACGAAGGATATTGGACTCCAGACAACGCAAGTTCAACTTCACGACGAAGGGACCGCTGGTTGTCAACAAACAATTTCCCAGTTCCAGAGCCAATTTCAACTTCACGCGGAGGATATTGGACTTGGAACAATACAACTTACTTGGATTTCAACTTCACGAAGAAGGATATCCAATTCCAGGCTCAGCTTAACGACGAAGGGGCCACCCGCGGTTTCAACTTCACGACGAAGGGAATCGTGCACACAAGCAGCATCCATCTCTAGATTGGATTTCAACTTCACGACGAAGGATATCCAACTTAAAGAAGGAGTGTCTGTCAATAAACTTTCCAGTTTCAGAGCCAATTTCAATTTCACGGCGAAGGATATTAGACTCGAAACAGTGCAACTTACATTGGATTTCAACTTCACGATGGAGGATATCCAATTCCAAAGTTCAACTTCACAACGAATGGGTCATATACGATCCCAACTTCACAACGAAGGGTATCGAACTCCAACAGATTGACCCAACTTCACGACGAATGAGTCATCTGCAACACTGCAACACCGAAGTCTTTAGGTCAAGTTTCACCTTCACGACGAAGTATCTTGAGCCAGAAGACGATTCAAGGGCTACTTGCCAAAGCTTTGAGATCGATTTCAACTTCAAGACGAAGGATATCGTGCCCAATGGATCGACTTAGTGTCTCAACAAACACTACCAAGTCTCAAATAAAAGAGAACCAGACAAAAACTAGTTGTCTTTTTCATCTTTGCCCTATTCTTGTTAACACAAAAATGGGCAAAGAGGGGCAGCTGTAGACACTCATTTTTGTCCGGGTCTACAAAAAAATTTATTATTATATTTTATTATTATTATTAATATTTTTCTATTTTTGCAGGCATCATATCAACCCGATCAGACCCGATTCAAGCCAGATCATCATCCACCTGCCAAACAACCAAATCCCGTTTTCCACTAACCACCACGTATCTCAACTATTCAACTACACCCCTAAAAATCTGGCCACAATCTCTGGCCATTACATATTCAACAAACACGCTGTTTTAAAGGGGGGGCTACAACGAAAAGGAAGGGGAGGAGCATATTTACCTGGCTGATCCAAAACCAGAGAAAAAAAAGGAATGGCTTTCTTCGCCTGGAATACACTTCCCTCACTATCTTCTCCTCATCGTTGATTTCCAGTTTGGCCAAACCACCAGCGGATTCATTGCTCTCTTTTAGAATATGCTTTATTTCGTTCACCCCAATCTCTCTCATAAAAGCTTTGCAATAGTCTAAAATAAGCTCTGATTTGGGGTTTTCTGTCTCTCCTCACAGCCACATCCCTCGTTCTCAAACCCCTGCCGTTCTTTCCCACACTCTCATCTCTTCCTTCCTTTTCATTCTTTCTTTTGCTAAAACCAGTGGCCACCTTTGCCACCATCACCTAAAGGCTTCGACGAGAAGCCCAAATGGCCCTGGATTGCTTCAACGACTCACGGGCGTTTTGGTTCTGGGTGACGATGATGGTCCTCTTCCGACGATAAAGATGATGTACGCAAAGAAGTGGGATGTGGAAAAGGAAAATGCAAGCCTTCTTCAAACGAAACACTCCCTTATTATATCTATGAATGTGATGCTGGCTAAGATGATGATTATCCCAAGTTCCTCCCTTGCATTTTTCTTAACTGACAAGTGGATTTCAAGATAAACAAAGCTATGCTACAGCTCAGCAAGACGAGACCTCCGATTCCAAATCCGATAAACAAGTTGATTGCATATCAGAGGATGAAAACAAGAAAACACATACTAAATAATAAGGATCTGAGATGGCGTGCAAAATGGTATTGCGTTCCATCTCCGTGACGGAGGTGTGGAGCCCTCTGCGGCGGAGCTGGAATTTCCTTTCGTTGAGGAGCTTGGCCGTTGTTAAGAGAGGGAGCGACGACATTTATGGGACGTTGGTCGTTAGGGTTCGAGACTTTCATTTTTGGAACAGGATTCCGAAACTGCGTTGCTCTCGGAATGAAACACCGTCTTCCAAATCCGAGGAGGAGGAACTTGACCAAGGGTCGCCTCAGAAGTCGTTCTCAAATCAATTTCAGAGGTATCAAAGAAAGGAGAATTAAGCCAAATTGAATTTTGGCTTTCATAAAACACGTGCAGTGTACTGGTTGCATTTTCAAAGGGATAACCGGTTGGTCTTGGAAGGTTAGGGCCAAATTGTTGTTTTAGTCCTTCCAGGTTTGGATAAATTTCATTTGTTTGCTTAAAGTCATTTTTCATTGTGATTTGGTCCTCTAACTTTTTTATTTTTTCTTTTGCAGTTCATTTTTTAATACCAAGTTAATCCATCAATTTTAATTTATTTCAATTTAGTTATTCATTTTTTTCCTTTTTAATTTTAGTATTTTTTATTTTAGTTATTCATTTTTTTTCTCTTTTAATTTTAGTGTATTTTATTTATTTATTTGTCTTTTCTTATTTTTATTTTATTACCTTTAAAATCTATCATTCTTTACATTTTAGGATATTTTTAATCGATCAAAGGTAATTATTCGAATTGATTTTTTTTAAAATTTAAATTTAAATTTAAATTTTCGCAACTAAGACAACCGACAAATTAATTGGTACCGAAAGGGCAGTTCAAGGGTGCTAACCCTTCCTTGACTGTAACCGACTCCCGAACCCGACACATTCCTGGTAAAATGCAGATCAAGTAAGATGGTGTCCGATCTACCTAAATATCGTTTTAAAATGATCGGTGGCGACTCCAATTCGTTTAATCCAAGTCGAAGCCCAATTCCGGGGCCCAACCGAAAGACGGTTGCGACACGTAGCATGAAGAAGCAACAAAACTGCACCTCGTAGATAGTTATTTCAACAGTTTGCTTTGTCCCCGGTTTCAGAGTCATTTCAGTGGCGGGGTTAGCATCACTGAATTCTGGGTTACAATCACAGTGATCCACACTCAACCCACCGTATAGAATCGGCACTTGCTCAGGCGGTATGTATCTGTTTTTACACATCAAAATTCAATGACCGAAGAGAGTGTTGTTCTCTCTAAAAGATTCAGAGCTCAAGCAGTTACGTAAGTAGTGTGCGTAGGTAAACAATGATTAAAAAAGATTACAAATAAATATTATCTTGTATTTAATTCGGAATATAAAAAAACACTTAGATAAGATTCTAATCACTCACTTGAAAAGGGTTTCGGTAGATTTTGATGGCCCTTCAAAAACAAACTTGCTCTTGGTTCTCTAGCTCATGAATGGACTTATCATTGTATAGAATGCAAGGCACCACAAAGGAACATTAATAACACCTAAACCAAACATGAAAGCAAAATTCAATGCATCTATAAAGAATCTAATTGAGAATAAATGAAAATCGAAGATCGCATTAATGAACAAAATAAAACTGTTTTGCAACAAATTCGGGATAGTTATCTTGAAGCAACTTGTTTTGTTGCCAGCCTATGCTCCCTTCTTCCAGGTCCAGTAGAATTCTTGAGGTCACTGACTTGAAAAACAGTGGAAATTCCACCGGGTCTAAAATCAAGCTTTCTTATGACTCCACTGGTTGAGGCGGTGGTGGTGGAGCCATAACTTGCTTTCCCACCTCGAACGTTAAATCAAGCTCGGATTCCACGAGCTCGGGTGGCGGCGTTTGTTCTTGCTCTTCTACTATGACCATTGAGTCTTGAGACAGATTCCGTAACGGAAACAGAGACGGTGTAGTAGATACCGCGGAAGCGTCTTCTTGTTGTAATACAAAGGTGAGTCAAAGCCGGTTAGAGTAGATGGCGGCGGCAGAGGTTGGGTTGGAGTTTCACCATCCATTGCTTCTTCGTCGCATGAAAATGTGGAGACAGTGAAGAGAGTGAAGAGTGGAGGTTCAAAAGGGCATTGGAAATGCAATAAGTTGGTTTCTCAAGAGGGGAATCCGGTTTGGAGAGTGCTTCATCAATATCGGGGGTTACCTCGGGTTAAATCGATGTTGTGGATTCTTTGTAAAGGGCGATTGCTGTCCTATGCGGAGCGAATGCGAAGGTTTATGACGGCGGATTCAAGCTGCAAATTCTGTGGAGTAGTTGTGGAAAACCTTCATCATATTTCCGTGATTACGTTGCAGCCAGAGCAACATGGAATACGGTGGTGAAACCAGATCAGTTACGTGAGTTCTATAATATGGAGTTTGAAGATTGGATTATGGTTAATATCAAGGATGGGGAATATCGGCCGAGCTTGAATGAGGACTGGGATTTACTGTTCGGGATCTTCCTTTGGTGTCTTTGAAAGCGTCAAAATATGCTAATTTTGAACCGGAGATGATCCTTTTGAAAGTGTTCTAGCTACAGGGAAATATTGTTGGCGGAAACCTTGAGAGCAAACCTGCTGAAGGTGTCGAGGGGTCAGGGGAGTACCTTGCTTGTTAATCGGAACGTGATGTGGAAGCCACCACCGGTAGGGTATAGTGATGCTTATCGAGTTGAGCACCTCGTGAGTAATTCGAACTCGACTTGGTCAAAATTCGGTAAAAATTTAACTCGGGTTGACTCGACTCTAGACCTTAATGAGTAGAGTCGAGTAAAGTTCAACTCAAATCGATAAGTTCGCGAACAGTATGTTATTTTTTTTATTTTTAATAGTTATCTTAAAAATATTTCTAAATAATAATTATTAATTTGTTAACAAATAATAATAATGATAAATTACTAATATATTTTAATAAATAATAATATTATTAATTTATAATATTATTTTATTATACAATAAAAGAAACCCTAATTTTCAATTTCATTCTTCAACTTCCCCGGTGCCTCCTTCACAACTCAAAGTCTCATCTACTAAACCATTTTTTCCTCTCAAATCTCAAAATCACAAATCACAAACACAAATCACAAATCACAATTTCATCTCTAATTCAACAACCACGACAGGTTCGTTTACCTATCTCGTTATTTTTTCCATTTTAGTTAAATAGTTTAATTTTAGAATTCTTTGTTTTCATTCTCATTTGGCTGTATTTTTTTTTTGTTTGTTAAAATTAACTTGGTTTGAGGTTTTCGATTACTCTATTTTTGGGTTTAGATTTGTTTACATTCAATTGTGCTTATCTTTTGCTATGATATATACAGTAAAATTGTAATTATTTTTCTTCCCTTTTTAAAGAACGACACTGTTACATGGTATTTTCTTCACTGCTTATTTGCTTTTATTTTCACCCAAGCTAAAAACTTGATTCACTGCTGCAATGTTACATGGAGAAAAAAGTAGTATGACTTGCTTTTATATACAATAAACTTGATTCATTTGGACTTATATTGTATCCATTTTGTTGTACACTGGACAAGGGAAAAAAGTAGTATGGACTTATGGTTTAGAAGTTATTTAAGGCATGAGATCTTGCAATGACAAATTGGGTCATTTCTCAATAGTTTAGCAGGATTCAACTACTGCACTTAACACATGAATCAAACAATTTAATTACGGGCACATTTTAACCTTTTTATTGTAAATATTAAACCAATATCTTATTTATAAACAAGAAGCATGCAATTCTACTTCAATTGGTGGCAGATATGGATGCATTTGAGATTTGTATATATTTATCTAAGGCTTATCAGTAAAGTGAAACAAGTTCATTTGAAAGAGAAATTAATGACATTTGTGTATCAGTAAGTAGTAAAAGCAAAAATTAATTCACAGTTGTGGAAATAAATTCAAATTAATTTGCTTTGAATTAGTGGAACAAAAGCTTTACTTATAATGTTTAACTTTGAATGTGTGAGTTTTTATAACAACGGCTTTTGAACATTATACATTTAGAATAATGGGTAGTATATTTATTGTGAATGTTTCTGTCATATATATGATGTAAAGAGCATGCAAGAAACATATGTAATAAAGAGATTTCTTGTTGTGTTCCATGATTGTTTCTTGTTACGCTGATATTTTGATTAAATATGAACAGATGCTTCTAGTGCTCCTGATTCTTCTTTTCGAAATTCCGTGATTGAGGAATTTAATGTGAATGTTGATGATGAGGTGGAGATTGACGATGTTGAGATAGATGATAAGGTAGAAAAAATGGATCAAGAAATGCCTCCAAATAACACTCAAGGAACCACCCAAGAAGATAATTCTGATGTTCCTCCACGTGGCCCTTTTAAGAGAGCAAGACAATCTGAAGTTTGGAAAGACTTGGGAAACCCTGAAATGATATGCAATCAGTGGAAAGTGAGATGTTTACATTGCAAGGAACAACTAAAAGTACTTAGTTCTGGAAGTACTACTCATTATAAGCGCCACTTGGATAAATGTCCACAAAAATGAATGATGTTACGACAACAAAATTTAATTAACTTCCTTCCATCAGATTCAAGTGCTGGATCACCTGATTCTTCATTTGTTAGTGCTTTGCATGATGACAAGTTTGATGTTTTAAAGTTTAGAGAAGGCATTGCTCATTGGATTGTTATGCATGAAAATACCTTCTTAGTTGTTGAAGAAGAAGATTTTAACTTGATGTTGAAACGAGGAATCCCACAATGAAAAAGTGTGTCTCGTCATACTATAAGAAGTGTTGCTTTCAAAACTTATGAGATTGAGAAGATAAAGTTAAAAGAGTTGTTAAAGAGCATATATGGAATTTCATTAACCATTGATCTATGACGTTCAAGTCCGCAAAAGATTGAGTATATGGTTCTTACTTCTCACTTTGTTGATCGTGATTGGAAACTTCAAAAGCGAATATTGAGCTTTGCTCACATACCTCCTCCTCGAAAATGCAAAGACATTGCCAATTGCATATTCAAATGTTTAAAGGAGTGGGATATTGAAAATAAAGTAAGTTGTTCTTCATTTAAGTTATGTTTGCATACTTTTTCTAATGTTATATAAAATTTTATTCACTTATTATATTTATATTTTTTTGCTAGGTTTTCACAATTTCGGTGGACAATGCAACTACAAATGATGTTTTATAGAAATTTTGAAGGATACTTCTCATTGACTAAGAGATTGATTTGTGGTGGAAATTTGTTCCATGTTCGTTGTTGTGCTCACATTTTGAACATTATGGTTCAACATGGGTTGAAGAAAGTGAAAACAATAATCAAGAATGTTCATGATACTGTTGATTACATCAATGGCAGTGAGCATCAATTGAAAAAGTTTGCAGAACTTGTTGGACAATTCAACATAAAGCATAGAAGGTTGGTTATTGAATGCAAGACAAGGTAGAACTCAACTTATGACATGCTAGCACGTGCAATCAAATTTAAAGAGGTATTTTCTAGACTTGCTTTGGAGGATAAAGATTATGTTTATTGTCCTAGTGCTAGTGATTGGGAAAAATTGAGAAGTTGCTTGATATTATAGTTGTGTTTTCCAATGCTACTATCTTTAGATCGGAATATCCAACCTTTAATTTATTTCTTGGTGAAGTTTATAAGATTAAAATGTTGTTGGATGATAAATTGAAATCTCCTAATGAATTTGTTAGTGATATGGTTAAGAATATGAAAGAAAGATTTGATAAGTATTGGGGTGAATGTAATCTACTTATGGCTATGGGTTGTGTGTTGGATCCTCGTTTGAAAATGAAAGGTATTGAAGTGACTTTCCCGGATATGTTTCCTTTAGAAGTTGTTCGAGATAACATTCATAAAGTTCGAGAAACTTTGTATCAACTTTATGATGAGTATGTTAGCTTGTATCAACACTCCTGCTTTATTTGATTTAATAAATAAAGTGGCTAACAATGAAGTGTTGAATAATGTTGAAAAGAATGAAGTTAATTTGTATCTTGAGGATGGATGTGTAATGGATAAAGGTGATCACTTTGAACCTATAAGATGGTGGAAAGATCAATCTTTGAAGTTTTGTATTTTGTCAAGGTTGGCTATTGATATTTTAGCAATTCCGATAACAACTGTAGCTTATGAGGCTACGTTTAGTGCAAGGAGCTGCGTGATTGATTATTATAGAGCGTCTATCTCCGGATATCGTGCAAATGTTTATTTGTAGTGGAGATTGGTGTCGATCTCTCCATGGAGTGAAGAGAAAGAATAAGATAAAACTATTTAAGATTAAGCGTGTTAATTGATTTAGTTTTATATTATTCATGAAAAAGTAAAAAATATTTATTTTAGTTTCTTATTATAAGATATTCTAATTGTTTTTATTGACATGATAGTTATGTTGATCAAGCAAAGGAAATTATTCTCCCAATTTTATAATTTGGTGATTGCAACCACCAATGAATGGAGTGAAGACATGTTGATCTCCTTATTTTTAGGATTAAGTATTGTTGAACATTTTTTTTCAAGAATGTTTTTAATATGTTAGTTTGATGTATTTGTGGATTGTTACTTTGGTGAATTTATGGATTGTTACTTTGCTTTTAATATGTTAATTTGGTGTATTTGTGGATTATTAGTTTGTAATTTAAACTTTGAAATTGTTTCATATACTCTTTGATATTTTTTTGGTTAAATTTGTTAATTTATGTATATATTAAGTTCCATATAGTATTATTAAATTTACTTATAGTTAAAAACAAGTTAAAATTTTTAGTGAGGTTAACGAGCAACGAGCACGAGTCGAGCAATAATTTTTTTAACGAGTACGAGTCGAGCAATAATTTTTTTTAAAGTGCAGAGTCGAGTACTGCCTAACTCGTGATAGACTCGTTCGATAAGCACCCTATCTTATGGCTTGGACACGGGTAGAACCACTTGTGGAGGGTTGATTCGTGATCACTTATATGTTTCAGGTTTCTCGAAGAATATCGGGTGCTGCTCAGTGTTAGAGTCGGAGATCTGGGGTATCTTTTAGGGCTTGAGCATGTCTTGGGAGTTGGATAGGAGGAAGTTGATTGTAGAAGTGGACAGTAAGAAGGCTCCCGCAGAGGTGAACGACGATCCAAGGTTTCATGGCGTTTTTTCGCTCGTTCTCCATATATATTTGTGAGCTGCTGCAGAAAGATTGGGAGTTGATTTTCAGATTTGTTCCCCGCGAGGTTAACTCTACAGCCGATCATCTTGCGAAATTGATATGGAATCTCCCTATTGGTCTTCATCGATTTCCGATTGCTCCCCCGAGTGTTGCAGCTGTGGTTGACACGAATGTAGAATATGAGGTCTGTGCATGGTGTAAGTAGGTTGGGTGCAGCTATATTGGGGTGTTTGTCTTTCTATTAAAAAAAAGAGATGATTATTTGAGTTTGATTTAATTAAAATCCAGTTTTTATTATTTTTAATAAAAATATAGTATAAGATATTTATGTATTTAAGGTTTGAGGTCGAGTTCGAGTTTGAACTGGAATTCAACCTTCAACCGAGCTAAATTTAAAAATGTTGAGTTCAATTTTTTCGGGATCAAGTCAAACTTTAGTTTTTAATTTTGAATTTGAGTTGAACTTCACAATTTTAAGATTATGAGCTTTTAAATTAAATCAAACTCAACTTTAAATCTATTGAATTGAGTCGAGCTTAGGGATGAGAACGTGTCAGGTTTCGGTCAACCCGACCTGACCCAAAAAATTTATATCCTCCACCCAAATCGAGTCCGACACGACTTTTTGAGATAAAATCTGAACTCGTCCCGACATGAAATAATAAAAAATATTATTTTTATTCAATAAAAATAGGGATTTAGTTGAAAAAATAATATATAGAGGGATATTATTGTAATTATCCCTAAATATATAAGGTAAAATTATTTTTTTGGGTCGGGTCGGGTATTTTCCACCATAAACCTGAAATCGAACCGACCTAAACATAACATTTTAAAAAAATTGACTCAACCCGATCCAAACTCAAATTTTTTTAAAAAGTCCGATCCGATTGGGTCAAAACCATCAGACCTGAGTCTCATGCCTATCCCTGATCGAGCTCGAATCAACTTGTTTACAGTCCTAGTGGCGCTTGGCGTTTATTCTGCGACTTGAGGGCCTTAGGCTTAGGTTTGGTTGGACTGGGCTTTGGGCCTTTACGCTTCTTTCCTTTTTTGTTTGGTTTAGGTTTTTAGGTCGAGTTCGAGTTTGAATACAGTTCGAGTTCGAACTTGATTTCAAGCTTTAACCGGGCTAAATTTAAAAATGTTTTGAGTTCAATTTTTTCGAGCCAGCTCGAGCTTTAGTTTTTGATTTTTGAATTTGAGTTGAACTTCACAATTTTAAGATTATGCGCTTTTAAATTAAATCAAACTCAACTTTAAATCTATCGAATTGAGTCGAGCTTATTGATGGGCATGGGTCGGGTTTCGGCCAACCCGACCTGACCCAAAATTTTACATCCTCCACCCAAATCGATTTCGACCCAAATTTTTGAGATAAAATCTAATCCAACTCGACCCGAAATGATAAAAAATATATTTTATTCAATAAAAATAGGAATTTAATTGAAAAAATTATAATATGGAGGGATATAATTGTAAATATCCTTAAATATATAAAATAAAATTATATATTTTTTGGGTCGGATATTTTTTACTCTAAACCCGACTCGACCCAAACCCAATATTTAAAAAAAAACCTAACCTGGTCGGGTTAAAACCCGTCAGACTTGAGTCTCATGCCCATCTCTAGTTGAGCTCGATTCAAACTTGTTTACAGCCCTAATGGCGCTTGGCGTTATTCTGCGACTTGAGAGCCTTAGGCTTAGTTTTGGTTGGACTGGGCGTTGGGCCTTTGCACTTCTTTCCTTTTTTTTTGGTTTGGGAGTTGACCTATTTGGGTCGAGTCCTTTGAATGTTTTAGGGATGAAAGTTTCATATGAAAACAAAATTAAAATTACCTTTAAATTCCTGCACTCTTTTATATTTTGATAAATTAGTCATTAAATATAATCTATTTTTTTAATAAATTTTTTATAAATTTTAAGTTTTTTAATCAACACTGATAATATTAATTTATTTTTTATTTAATTTTCCACACGATTTTTTCTCTATATCATAATTATTTTTAAAAATAAATAAATATTCTCAAATAAAATGATGAAACATATTAATAATTTATTGGTGAATTAAAATTATATTAAATGATTATTCATTTATTGCACAATTGATAAAATGTCTCATTGATAATTTTAAAACGGATGTAATAACATGAATATAAATATTTTAAAATTAAAATTAAAATTATATAAATTAAATTTCTGAAAATAAATGCAAATAACTAAATTTCAAATTACAAAAAGTAGAGACTTAAAACATATTCTAACTAGAAAAAAATCCGAAAAATAGAATTTTTAATTTGCTCCTCTAGAGTAGGAACATAAGGACAATTAGGTAAATACGATGCTATCGGCAAGTCAGAAAATCACATTTCCATGGTAAGAAACACATCAGTCAGATTCAGACAATGGTGGAGACATCGCGGCAGATCTAAACAACAAAAGACGAAGCAGAAGAAAGGTAAATCTGAGCAACAATCCGAATAAACAACGAAACTAGCAGCTGCAAAGAAAGTTTTGGAATGGAAGAGAACAAGGAGTCGGCGGCGTCCAAGTATGACATGAACGCTAAATGGGACGAATGCATCGATCTCTCTCTCCGCCGCTTCGTTTACTCCTCCTTAGCCGGCGCTTTCGGTGGCCTCATTTTCTTCAGTTCGTCTCTCTTTCCCTAATTTTGTTCTTTTTCTCTCTCCTCTTAAGATATTGTTTTCGATTTCCCCAATTGCATCGCATTTAATGGCTACAATTTAGTGTTATTAAGCTAGATGATTAAAAATCATGGATTGCAGATTGGCCTAATTGGTTCTAGAATTATGCTTTCTGATTTTCTGCTTGCCTCCATTTTTCCTTGTTATTGTTTCGTTATATTCTAATTATTTATTTTTCATTTCTGTTTGGCACAAGGTAGCATTGGCTTTTCAAATTGTACATGCGCATACTCCACAATCATAGATTTAGATGCAAATATTATGCATATACATGTACTTGAAATATGTAAGATTTAAATTGCAGTCAGCGGACATGTTCTGGATACATCGTTTTCTATTGTGCTCGAGAACGTAACGAGTCAACTGCAACTAATATCAAGTGCGAATATTGACGGCAAAGAGAGACGTAACTGAAAAATAGCACATTTAATATGGCGTTGTGGCTGCTATTTAAATCTGGTGCTGTATTCTTTAGTATCCATTTAAGTAGGCAACGTTTCAGACCAAGTGGCTTTCTTAAGTAGAAAAGTTTGAGAGACCATATGGTATCGAATGAATCTCGTAGCCTAAGATGTTCGAGCAACCTTGCATTTCTGTGTGTTGGTTTTGATTTGCCTTAAATTCCAATACCAGAACTACCTCCGTTCTGTAATTGCTGTAGATTGCCTAGAATTGATTAAGAACTTGATTACTGCTTTGCTTTGTAGGGAGGGAAGAAGGAAAAGGAATGGATTTTAGTTTTATGCCTCCTAGCCAACTTCAATCATCGAGTTAAAACTTTTTATCATTTCTTCCAAGCAAAGCCTTAACAGTTAACGTGATTATGTATTTAACCTTTTACTATAGGTTCATCTAGGCTGCAGACAGAGTACACTGAGTTTGCTTGAGTTTTCTTGTAGTAGTTGTATGTCCAAGCATTGTAGCTACTGTGCCTTTCCTTTTTGTGCTTTCTCCTTTTCTTGTCTTCCCCAACCCTTCCTTGAATAACTTTGATTTGTCATGCCAGGGAGTCCAGTGACTAGATGGGCATCTGTAGCTTTTGGTGCAGGGGTTGGAATTGGATCTACATACACAGATTGTTCCAGTATTTTGGTGGATATTCTCCAAAGTTGACTCCTAAGCTTGACTATGCTCCTGCACCCAAGGTTGGCCTAATACATTATTGAACTATGGGTTTAATCTTGTTGATTCTTCCTTTTCTGGGTTGCACATTTATGTTCTAATTGTTTAATGGTAATCCTTTGTCTATAAATATTAGAGTTTTCTTCAACCTATTAGCACTTATCTCAAGGTATCAAATGAGTATATGGATTAGCACCAGTGGAGCCAATCTGGGTTAGGTTATAAATGCCCGATATCCAATTTTGTGATCATCGACTTCAACGTTCAACCAACCAACAACTCTATTAGAGCCATATGAGTCATCGATCTGAATCAAAAATTGGTGATTACAAGTGAACTTTTTTTCGTAAGATAAGTTCTCTAACAATAACTTGATTTTTTTCAAATGGAAAGAAAAGAAAGAAATATTGTATATATTGTATTAAGTGAAACTGTGATACTGATGAAATCAGCATATCAAGGATGCTTGTCAATTCTCGTCTAAAGTAGATGATGTTGCCAATTTTTCTGACACTTTTAGTTACTGTCGGTTTAGTTTTAATTATCTAAAATATCAGCATATTAAGGATGCTTCTAAAATTTAGTTATTTCAATGTTATTCTACTTATTATATACTTCAATAATTTTTATAGGAAGTCAACATAGTTCGCTTTCTGTTTCCAGGATCAAGAGGAGTGAGTTGATGTATTTGAAGTTCCTCTAGTTGACAGGTTTAAATTCTGAATTTCATAAGCGATACTGTTTAGTCTTTTCGGGTTTCCCTGGGAGTGTCTTCTGCATTGTAATACGAAGATTATATGTTGGTGGGTAAACAATGAACTGATGCACCAAAAGTTCATTACGAATCCACTTATCTTTTATTCTGTAATTCTATCATGAGTATAAACAATTTGAAGCAGAAATGGAAACAACTCCTATCTTGGTCTTGAATTTTACATGATTATTGTTTGTAGTTGCACTATATTTGTCTACTGAATGTTGATGTCAAGATTCCTTTTCAGATGCTTCATGACATAGGACAGTTAAGGATGTATGCATGGGTCATATTTTGTCTCGTATCTTTACTTTGTTTCGTCTATAGCCTTCAATTTTATTCTTCTCATCTTTGCAAGGGAGAATTATACGAGGGGACAGTCATGGTTTAGGATAGACTGAATAATTGGATTTTTGACCCAGGTGCAATATAAAAGTTCATAGACTTAGCTTATGTCGAAAATTCTTAGGAAAGAGAGAAAATGCATTTTGTTTCTTTCGGTCATCAAAGTTTCTCAAAAGCTCTACATTGCCCACATCCAGTTCTTGAATGGCTTTATATCTCATTAGGCCCCCTGACCTAGTAGCTAGCTTTGAGATGCAGTTAGAGTTTCTTAAAATCATAACCAAGTTCGTTGCCCATTTCGCTTTTTTTTTTTTCGTGTTGTAGTTGTTTACCAACTTTTGAACTTTGGTTTGAATTTCTTTACCCGAAGTTTAAACGATTGTTGACGAATACAATTAACTCTCCAAACTACATTGCACAAAAAAAAAAAAAATTACCCCCCCCTTTTTTCTCTTAAATCCAAATATAACCTTAGAGCTCATTTCAACCATCTTAGTGCACAATGAGTTGAAAAAGGACATTCTATATACATTAAGGGGCATATACATGCACGAACCAAGTGGATTATGTGGTAAGGATAGGTATTATTCCTCGATGACCCGGGTTCGAGCACAATAGATGTCAGGTGTGAGCGTTCATGTCAAAAGGTTGAGAGTTTTCTTGAAAATATACTTGCCTTATATTTATTCCAGATTAATCGAAAAAATAAGGCATATACATCCTTGAGGTCAATTTTTTTATTGGTTAAATTTTCATCCATGCATGCATGTTACACAGTACAATTTTCAATGTTTTCTTACACTTTTTTAATGAATTTTATTTAACTCATTATACCAATGATTCACTGATAAATCAGAAAATCATATACTACTGTTATGTTAATATAAATTTTTACATTTAAATCTATCGACTGATTTATATAGCTGATACAAATTGTTATTTAGTTCATCATTCAATAGTTTTTCTTCGTCTCTTATTATTTTTAATTTATAAGCATACAATCACTTCATGAATATTTAACATGATCCGATTCCTGGAGTGGCCCTGTACATGTCATGGAGGTTTTTTTTGGCCCATAGAGTAACCCGAATGTTTTTTATAAAATAGGGTACGAATATTTTTATTTGAGATCCACAATATTTTTTCACAGTACATTAAACTCATCACGTCGAGGTGATGAGTTCTAATAAAATATTTTTATTCAAAATTTTTGTCTCGATTTGATAAATTTTAATAAAAATATTTTTATTCAAATTTTTATCTCATTTGATAAATTTTAATAAAAATATTTTATTCAAATTTTTTATCTCATTTGATAAATTTTAATAAAAAAATATTTTTATTCAAAATTTTTATCTCGATTTGATAAATTTTAATAAAAAATATATTTTTTAAACTCACTACTTCGACATGAGTTTCATGAACAGTAACAAAAATTACCGTAGATTTCGAAATAAACTTGTACTTGTCTTATTTTCTCAGATAATTTTCTGGTTTGCCCTACTGGGGAAAAATACCTGCCATGATCAGTCGGTTCAAAGGAGACACCAAAGTCGTATTTTTTTGGCGCCCTATGCCCTCTTCATTGCCAACCCTTTCCTTACAAACATCTCATTCTTTGGCTTTGTAATTGTTTAGGATTTTCTTTTGTTAAACGAATTTAAACTTCAAACAAACATTAAAAGGTATTAACATAAACCTGTATGCTTGACACTTATGATATTTTTTTCTTATTCTTTTTAAAATTATTTTAGTTTAATTTTTCAAAGTTTTTTTTCTTCTGATCTTTGAAATTTTTAATCTTTAGTCAATTGAAACTACATGTGAAAAATGTAATAATTTGTTAAATTAACATAAGAAACAATTTCCCTTTAATTGTTAACAATGTGGTTTTTAAAATTTGAGCTAAGATTTTCTCTTTAACAATATGTAAATACCTTATTACTGCATTTAACACTCGTTAGTGTCTTATAGAAATTTTGAACACGTACTAAAATAAAATAAAAATTAAACTTAAGTATGATTTTAAAAAAAATTAAAAGTTTAGGTACTAAAATGAATTAAATTAATAGTTTCATACTAATCACGTAATTTACCCTATAATTTTAACTTGTTTGATAAAACCATGCTTAGGTAGTTATTGAGGCCCTTTTCTTCTTCATTTACTCAATTGAATCGGGTTATCTATAGTAAATGGGGTAGTAGTAAGAATACCCAAGAGTTTAGGGTGAATTCCCATCTAATAACGATTCAGCAATGATGTGTGATGTATGCATATTTGACGAGGAATGTAAATTAAATCAACGGTAAACTATTACTCTTTTAGCTTTTTTTTATAAAAAAGGAATTTATATTACATAGTTTCACAGAACAGAAAAGATTTATAATATAGCAACTTCAAAGAATCAACAACTGTGGGTTTTTAAACTCCACAACCATAGTTCTACTAAATAAGGAAGGGAAGAACAAATAACAATAAAAGAGGGGCAAGGCATTTGTGGAACAATCATTAATTTGCATTGGTTGTATGCTGATGGGAGGCCCTCCTCGGGAATGGGAGAAGGGATGTAGGAGATCTTCTCTTGGGGGTTGATTTTGGCCCATTTGAACTGTTGATGAGGTTGTGTATGATGTCAGGATTTCGAGTCTCGCATACTCTTTTCCTGGACACATCCGAGGACCTCCCCCGAATGGCACAAACGTGTAGGGCGCTGGACCATTTCCTTCGAATCTTGATGGATCGAATCTCTCAGGATCCGGGAAGTATGTGGGATTCTTGTTTGTTGTATGCACCGTCCAAACGCCTGAACCAGTTATACATCAACCATAATGAGATGCCTCTCTAGTATATATGAAATACGGGGGACTTACCTTCCATCCTTTGGAATGGTATAACCGGCGTAAGTAAAGTCGGTAATGGCCTCTCTGAAAGAACCATTAGCAGGTGGAGCCAACCTCATTACTTCGCATGCCACGCACCACGTATACTTCATCTTCTGTATATCTTCCCATCTCAATGACCCTCCCTCTTTGCTTCTCAATACCTCCATTTGCTCTGCACCACTTCATCATTCATTCATCCCCCCACCAAAACTAATATTAATATTAAAATCCAAATCAAAAGTACGTACCTTCAGGACCCTGATATAAACCTCGGGATGATCAGAGAGATAGCTAACGATGAAGGTGATTGCAGTGCTTGTTGTGTCATGGCTGGCTATAAAGAACCCCACGATCTTGTTGCCGATCTCAACCTCCGTCATTCCATCCATCAGCATGCAATCAACCAAGTCCGATGCCACTGTTTTTCGTTTCTCTAATATCTCGTTTTTCTTCTGGTAATGAGGGCCATAGCTGTTGCCGAATTTGCCTCCCGGCTTTCACTGCGCGATTGAAGTCGTGCCTGGAAGATCAATGGCACCGATATGAGACCGGCAGTGGCAAGAGCGAAGGCTTGGCAAAGTTTTCGATCTCATCGGGATCGGTGACGCTCATGAAAAGACGACAAGCGAGTGCGAATGTGTACTTCTTTGAGAGTGGGAAAACTTGGACTTCATTATAGGGTGACCAGTGTTGATTGAGTGCTCTTTCGCCATTTCATCCATCACTGGTATAATGTTGCAGGGACTCTGGCTTGAGAAAGGAGGCAGATAGGCCCGAAGTTTGGTGGATTCTTCTTTAGAAGAATTCTCAACACTGGCTGGATCCATCAAAGCTTTCTTAATGGAATCGGGCCCACCACAAGTCACATATTTGTTTTGGCCGGAGAAAAGGAACTTGTTACCGGCAGCGCCGCAAAAGATGGCCATGTCTTCTCCGAGCAACGATGTGCGGAACACATCGGTGAATATTTGGTAGTTCTATCCGTTATGAATTTCTCGGGTCCCCCCATCTTGAAGCCAACACGTAATCCAAGGTTTCACCAATGTACGGAAACCCTTTCTCCCGGGAGGAAGGTTACGGGTGGCACCACCGTCGCTGGATTTGTATTTGTAAGCAAGTAAATGAAACGACCGACACGTATAGAACTACCAGTGGACCAGTACGGCATCAAAGAGTCAACGGCGTCCATGGCTGCAAGCTTCATCCTGCTATGATAATGTACAACTGTTAATGTATATTTATAGTCGTCATAATCAGCTGCCGATGGAAGGATACCGGAGCCCAAATTTTAGTGTCCTGCATTTATCCCTCTTTTTGTTTTGGACGATAATAAGTTTATCCAACTCTGTCAAAGTTTGGAATCTCCACCTAGTTTTCTTAACTGGAAATCTTGCTAATATACTATTCCATCAACGGTGCTTATTTTCGAAGGATAAACCGCACAAAATAGCATTAAATTTTAAGATTCATGTTGATTGACCATCGGATTTTAAATTTTCTAAATTATAATACTGATTTTTTTTTACTTGCACTGAATCATTAACATATTATCAATACGATGACATAGTAATTAGGTGTTGATGTGGTAGTGACAGGAAAATCAAAAAACATTTTTTATTCCATCTCATCTTCTTCATTAAAAATAAAAAAAAACTTCATCCAATTTTTAGTTGTTGGAAATCACCATTCCCTCACATCTTTTACGATCACCTTCGACAATAATTAACTTTCGCTCTCTGCCACTTTTTCAATTTAAATTTTCTCAGAATCTCTTTAAAGTTCACAAAATTAAATAAAAAAACTATTATTTTCGGGATTTGAAGCTTTTCTCAAATTTGAAGAGTATTGGATGTTTGTTTGAAAATTTAAACGAAAATAAATATTCTTTTTAGAAGACAAGCCTTGAAACTAAACT